TCAACAGCTCAATACTATAATAACATACAATTATGTTGTTCATACTTTCCTTTAAACTCTACTTCTTATGTTCACATTTATAAATACAAATATATTATTTAACCTAAAAATTAATAAAATAATATTTTGTTATTAAAATATACTGTAATAGAAAATTAAAATTGCAAATGTTTTTGTAGATTATGATTATACTTATGAAATTCTAGCATTTATATATTTGTTTTGAATGATTAATAAAATATCAGAGTCAGGCATAAATATTGTTCGTGATTTAAAGAATCTGAATCCTCTCAAATACTATAAATGATCATATCATACTACTCAAATCTTGTTGCAAGCCACGTATTTATTTGTTTGATTACCTGAAGATCTATAAATTTGATGATCTAGTATTTTTTTAGTATGTGTTAATTTCTTCCGTCGATGTGGAACGAAGCTTTTTAAAATATAAGAATTTGTTTTCAAATAACCACAACATATTTATTTTTGTAAACATCTAATAGTAGAATACAAATTCAAGGTAAAAAATGAGTGAACAATTTAAATAATTTAAATTGATTGTAAAAACATTGTTCTGTTTTGTATTTCAGGTCCACAATTAAGCATTGAGTTTGATCAATAATTCTCAAATCAAAAAATTTTTTACATAAATACCAATAAGAATAATGAAAAAATTATAATCAATAAAATATATGTAATTTTTTCAATGAAATAGAAAAATCTTAAAGCATATGTTAGTGCATATTTAGTTCTGTTTTTTAAGAATATTTGTTTGTTTTTTAGTGTATATTTTAACTTCGAAGCTAAATTTATATTAATTTGTTAAAACAAATATTTATAGTATCAAATGTATATATTTATTATCGATTTTTCAACCACGTATATCTTGTACATGTTATAGCAAAAACTTTTTTTGTTTGATTACCTATACACCTACGTAAAAATTGGTTTTGTTAATTAATAATTTGTAAATTGTGCTATACACAAAAAAATAAAATCACTTTTTTTTTATTAAAAACCTATTGAATGGTCTTGAATTATGAATTAATTTAATATTACAGTAACTTCTTTATGGTAAATGTCATCCACTATTACAGAAAACAACACCGTTTTCACACTTATATGGGTTTGGTCATCTTACACATTCCACAATGAGTTATCCCAAATTCTATACGTGCTATATATTGTAAGTGCGTCAGTGCGTGGGTATTATGATTAATTATTACTAGTCACTTAGTAGACGATATTATAACAATAATTTATTTATAAAAAGAAAGTTCTAATATAAACTAAACTATAGAAAGGTGTAAAAATAACCAATTTTTAATGACTCACCTGACACCTAATATGATTAAAAATGAATAATTTTTTTTTCTTCACATTTAAAATGTTACTTTTTAATCAACAATTATTCAAAATTAAATCATAATTATAAATAAATAAAAAATAAATAATATACTAACTACTTTTTTTGCTACTATTAATACATGACATAATATAAATAAATGAATTCAAATTTAAAGTTATACCAATTACATTATAATTCACATTTAAACTTTTTTACAATAATTAATCAATTTTATTAACAATATTTTCATACCTGAAGGTAGCCAAATTTGAACAGCGCAAGTGGTATGTACATTGACCCTAAAAAAAAATTATTTTTTGGCGCAATTGGTCAATGCCCGGATTCAAAACCATAATAAACAATAGAGAATTAATATAATTAATATCGAACAAATGGAAGCGATATTTATTTAATTAGATAATAAAATATTATAAAATATATTAAATGCTACGAAATAAAAGTTTGAATTTTGAATTTTATTATTTTAAATATTGAATTGATAATAATGCAAAGAATTTCATTGAAAACATATTTGACAGTTATAAATAATTAAATCAAGAGAAACTTCTATATACTTAAGACTTTTAAAAAAAATATTTTGTTATATTTCCATAACATAGTGGAAATACTTATGACTAATGCAAAATTAGAAGGAATCGAGAGGTTGTGAATTTCATTAAAATTTCGATTTTGGCAAAGATATGGTCTGGCCACACTAAAACGTGTAGCAATTGATAATTTTAATTTTATTTAAAATTATAAAATGAAAATGTTTATACAATTTCTATTTTATATTTATATTATATTTTAAAACTAACTAAATTTTTGTTCCTTCAATGAATGTTTTAGAATTTTAAAATTTGGAATTGAAAATTATATTGATTTAATGACCCTTAAATCGAAAATGTATTCACGATTTTTGAAATGTTTGTAAATATACTACACACATACACATAATACTACTAATGATAATTAAAATACAAAAAATACTTATTTACGACGATTTTTTTATACACTGAAGTAATATTTATGAATTATGTAGTTATGAAACGTTTTGAAAGACCAGATATTACCAGTAATAGTATTATCTGTGTGTTATAAATATAATAATTGTAGAATCCATTAAAATATTCCTTACTTTAAATAATAATATAATGTAGGTACATGTATGTATGTAGCTATATGGCTATATTTTTGAAAAGATATGGTAAAATAGATAAAATAGATAAACAGTATTTAAGGTTTATAGTAAATTCTACCTCAACGAAAAGTTAATTTTTACTGGGTACAAATTTTACTTAGTTATTATTTACTTTTCAAGTGTCTTAAAAAATAATTTATTTTTAAATATATCAAATCTATTTTAATGATTAATTTACTGTATTTAAATCACAAAATATCATCTGCATTTTAATACAACATATGTTGAATATTTATTTACTAGTATATTTAAAAATACAATAAAAGGGTACCACCTAACTACTATTATATTTGTTTACATCAGTGATTCTCAAACTGTGCACCGCGGTGCCCTAGGGGTACCATGACCACTCTATAAGGGCACCGTGGTCTACGGTTCATAATAAATAGTTTAAAATGTATAAAATTGTTTTTCCTTATTGTTTTCGTAAAAACTTTATAGCAAATAATGTAATATTTTCTATTTTATAATCGGATTTTCTCATTTTAACCTTATAATATTTTTGTATAATAATTATAATCATAATAAAAATAATTTTTACTTATCTATTTTTTAAGTTTAAAAATGCATTAATTTATAACCAAGTTAAATTTTATTAAAATTAATAAAATTGGTTATCAACAGTTTTTTTTTATTCTCTTTAATTTTATTCACAACCAGGGCACCGTGGCTAAATTGAGTCCAAAAAAAGGCACCGCGAAAAAAAAAGTTTGGGAACCTCTGGCTTAGATGCATTTTAAAAAAAAATTTAATTTTACAATAGACATTCTTGGATTCTTGGTCATATAATAGTTAAATATTTATATTATATTTGGGAGTACTAATATTAATGTACTTATGAATTCAATGATATTTTATTTATAAATTAAAATTATATTTTTGATTCTTATCTTCCCTTATGAATAATTAGTTGTGAGTTAAGTTGGTAACTTTCTATTTTGTACAATATTTATTTATTTTTTGTAAATTTAACTATTAGAGATTTGGAACTATCAAAACCTCTGGATAAATATACAGTGAACATTAAGTATAGGTACATATATATGTCAATTGTGTAAAATCTTGCTGCTATAGAATTAATTAAAAACTATAATAAAAATATATAATAAATAGATAGGTCTTGTTTGTTATTATTAGGCTTCGGGAGTTATTGTATTAGCAAATTTCTTTCTATAGTACAGATTAATTGCTGAATAGGATATACATACATTTGTTCCACGCAAATACGAATTAAAATTTTAAATTATTTAGTGCAAATTTATGACATTTTTGGTATTTTTTCGATTTGATTATAATTTTGTTGATTTTCCTCTTTTATGATGCAATTTTAGATATTTTTAAATATTATTCACAATATTTAAGTTTTTTTTAGGTAAGAAGTAAAATAACGATGGATGTCATGTGAGATATTAATATATGTCAGAATAATATAACAATAATAAATAATAATTTATGCTTATTTCAGGCTTTGTGGATTCTGATGACAGTGGAGGAATTATTATTTGATAAGACAATGCACGAACTGCACAAGTTTCTATCCTCAAATCAGAGATCTGTAGAGTTTGAGAAATTAAAGAATTCATTCATTGTGTAGCGCAATTTTTTAAATTAGACACTCAATGTGTATTAAAAAATGAAATAAAATGTTTTTAAATTTTAATAATTTTGTTTGTTGACTTCTGAAAGACTACATTAAAACCATTATTCCAGTATTAATATGAATTTTTATTTTAAAATATTGTCTATAATAATAACATTTTTATTATGATACTATAAATAAAAAATATATGTACAATATTTTTTAAAAATATTTATTTTAGTAAATATAAAAATGTAATGCAATTTTTAAGTTCAATTTTGGATATATTTACTAAAACAATGCAATAAATTTTAATGATGCTTTTAATTTCAAAAAATTCCGAGTCCTAGTTGTTACAATAAATCAGTTTTGTCGTTATTGCATATTCATAAAACAATAACATTTTCAAACAACATGAAACCATAATATTACGCCACCGCAAATACCGACGCAATAAAAATATATAATTACCAACTAATTTATATTTTACTGTTCTTGGGGGCTTAGTGCCTAAATTTAATGATCTTCTTCAATATAAATAGAAAAATTATTTCGCTGCCGTTACGGATTTACTTGAAGTCGACGTTATAATATTTTATCGGCCGTTGCAAATTACGTGTATTTATCATTATTATTATTATTGTGTATCTCTCCGTATTCGCGAGTACACCATAATACGCGTTCTGCATTCCACACCGCGGATCGTGGTAAATGTCAAGGACTCGGATGCCGCGTGCGCAAGCGGTGTTTGTGTTTATCGTTTATAGGTGCGTGCGTGTGTGAAAAACCGTTCTGATTTTTCCGGAACTTCGCGCGCTTATTGGCGCCGCCGACGAGTGCGCATGCGCAGCCGTTTCAGCGCGACGACCAGCCGACCGGCCAGCAACAGTTCCGTGGTACCAACGATCAGTGTTTCAAGACGCGCACAGCGACTGATATTGCCACGACCGTTCGACAATAATATTATTTAAACACGATGAGACCGTACGCTCTCCTATGGCCCTTGGCCGCATTCTTAGTGACCCGGACCTCCGGGTCAGCCATTCCTATGTGGGAATTCCTTAGCCGAGGAGAAAAGGTAACTTTTAGAGATTATCTCGTTATTATTATTTGTATAATTATTTATTTTAATTTGCCTAAATTGACGGTACCTACCCGTAAAATATACTACTGTAGCAAGTTGTACATCATTTATTGAAATTATCTGCCTTAATCGTGTTTATTCGATATATTATATCCATACATTTATGAATATTTGGATATATAATAACCATAAGTCAACTCAATTAAAATTATTATAAATCAATTAACTGATTGAATTTCTGGGTAACCGATCGATTTTTCAGTTTGATAGTTTATCTAATATTATGAATTACTATTATTTATTCCTTTGATACCTAGCTGAAATCCTTCACTTATAATAATTTTGTTGTACCTGCATTAAATATCAGGAATAAAACGGTCCACATCTTGAAGACACTAGTTTAAAATAAATCATTTCTTAAATACTGAAAAATACTTTGTAACAACGACTTGCACCATTTGGCATCATTATTCTGATAACTGTACTTCGAGATTATTCGCGTATGGATCGATCATTGTGCCAATTTTTTTTATTTTTTATACGATTACTAAACAGTCGAATAGTTTTATTAAATTGTTATCAATAAACATTTTTACTGTATTGAATATTATTATAAATATACAATTATTAACTATTATAATTTAGAATTAAGTTATCATGTATTTATACTTAATTGTAACTTAAACTTATTTTTACACATATAATGTATTTTATGGATTATGTAGACACTATTCTACTATTCTATATAATTGTGATACCTAATTGGTAATTATTAATAATTTCATGTTTACCTAGATCATAATATTGAATATAGGTAAATATTATCGCTACGAGGCATAAACTGACAGTTTTGCAATTTAAGATCTAAAGTATAAGTATTTACTGCTTTAAATAAATACATTTTTAACTTATTATAGAATGCTTATTTTAACATTTTAACAGTTATGGTGGTCATGTGACATTTTAGTTTCAAATTAACAGTTTGAAAATATTTAAAAATATATACTTTCTTGTGCAGTTTAATATATAAAAGCCGAGAATTATATCAAAGCAGTTTTCCACGATAATCGGCTTCATGGAATACATTAATATTAATGACCATTCATCCTTTTTTTTTAATATAAGTACCTACCTATTCATATTTATAAAAGTTCATGTACCTGAAGATTTCAATCTTCAGGTACTCTTAGTTATACCTTATGCAACCCATTAATTTAACAATATATAATAAATAAACTCCCTTCCTCTATAAACCTCTTTATAAATAGATTTATTGAAAACTTATTTTATCACTTGTTTTAGTAATATCACTTTATTGAAGACAACCCTGGCACTGATACAACTAAGACTACATAACATATAAATATAAACAAAAATGACTATTTTTGCCGGAAGACAGTTCTCCGTAAATAAATAGCTTTTATAATGAAGGGTACTGGAAATCATGGTCAACAGGAAATATATTTTATTTTATTACAAATATAAAATAAAACATAAGTTATTATATACTAAGGATAAATAAAATCTTAGTGTCTGTAGGTATAATAAAAACCCATTGTATTCAAACTTACTTGGCATGTAAATTATATTACCATCATAATAATTCGAAAATCCATCTCTAATGAAGTTCTTCCATTAAAATTTGTACGAAGAAGCCATGTTTAATTATCAAGAATCTATTAAAATCATATACGTACTCTTTAATCGATTTTTCATTCATTCAACTTCTAAATCTAATTTTTAAATCTATACATTTTAATCTACCTATATATATATATCTTTTTATATTGTTTTTTAATTTGAAGTTTTATAAATTACGTATAAATGTTCATTGATTATGTAACCGGCTTATTAATATAGATATATTATTTAGGTATAGAATATTGTATAGGGACCAGAATTTTGTAATACATAAATATTGATGTAGGCACATAAGTTATTAGATATACTTGTTTAATTTTTTAAATATATATTTAATTTCTAGTATTTTTGTATTTATATATTTATGTATAGTTAAAATAATCATATTATGCAATTATATATATATATATATATATACACATATAATACTTTGAAATTCAAAACTATATAAATTTAAAAAAAAATTTACAATTTTTTGTCCGTAATTGTATACCGAATAATATGTAAATCGTAAATCTCGTATAATTTTACGTCTGGTTTACAACAAAAAGAGTTCACTAACTCTTTAATTTTTGCTAACCCAAAATCTCTATATCTACATTTTTCTTACTTCAAAAATATATATTCTGAAAATGAAAATAATTATATTTTATATTGCTGTTTAGGCAACATTGCAACATTTTTAATGTTAATTAACAGTTACTCTTTTTAGTTAATTTTCACAATATGTATATATAGCATATTATTAATAGATTGTATAATTTTATTAATTGACATATAGTTACTGCTATACTGTAGGATAACCCACGAAGTTTAATAGGTAGATAAAAGCTATTGCAGCAATATCTCTTGATATAATTGTATAATCAAATTTTGTATTTTTGTGTGACTCACATCCTACAGAGATAACTAATAAAGACTACAAATATTCAAATTTTAATAAATTTTTTCTTATGTTTAGGTAAAACATTTAAAAAAATAATTTTCACTTTCGAAAAATTTGAACTTTATTTTATAGAGTTAATTCTTCTAGTATTATTAATATTTCAAATTTTTATTTTCATACTCTTAGTGTTTTATATTTTTTGAGTTCGTAGATTTACAAAATAGTGTTTAAATTCCTATTATTTATTTATTTTTTTAATAACTTAAAAAAGTATTGTAGTGTATGATGGACTACAAAATAACAAAAAATAATAATCATACCTAGTAGACTCATTAATTTAATAAGATTTTATAATAACATAAATATAAAATAATCGATATAAATCATATCTAAAATACTTGTTATAAAATATCAAAAAATTATAATTTTTAAATAAAGTGTTATGAACTTAATGTTAGAAATAAATACATGATACTCTCTAATAATCTAAAAATGATACTGCGATAGTGATCATTTTAAATATATTTCTTGTAAATAATACTATTTTCAATTTATAATTGCATGGTCAATAGGTACCTACTTATTCATAATAGCATTTGAAGTCGATTGCATTATATTAAATTAAAGTTTATACAAAACATTATCATTGAAATATTCTATAAAATATAATACAAAACATAAAATTATTGTAACATTTCAACTTTCTCCGTGCACCCTATTCCGCACGATCGAAATCCTTAAAAATTTCACATATTGCAATGACGTATTTAGGTGTATTATGAACGTAGTGGTTAACTGTGAACTGATGGTGTTTCGTGCATCGGAAACTAGTAAAAGAAATAAAAAATCTAGTTGACAATATACCCGGATCTACGGGCATATTAAATGAAGTATATCGTGTCGTTACACGATTTCCGTTTACCTATTACTGTAGAATAGAGTAATTTTCGAGAACAATGATAGTTTGAACAAAGGATCAAATTGTTTATATTGAAATTATTTGAAAAAAAAACATTGGATATGACCACCGAACCTCTATTATTGTAAACACCCAATTTTGAGACTTTTTATTAACGTTCTAATTTAATAATGTATTTACCTACCTATATAACCTATTTGGTGTTACCGCCTTGCCATGTTAATATACATGGTATGACCATTTTTTATTTAATTTTTCGATATATATAATCGAGTACATATTCCTCTAAGAAATTGCATCAAATTTGAGTTTAATAACACCTATTATAGGGTTTGAAATACTTATGGGATGTATCTAGTTTATATTATATTCTTTAAAAAAAATCTAGTTTGTTGTCTCTGATGCACTTAACAATAATTATAACATAAACAAATAAAATTACTGTCATTACCACTTTTATGCAACAACGAACATATCTACAATTTAATTTATTGTTTACGTTCTCGAAGATTTGAAATTCTAGTTCTTTTTTTTTCTTATTGCATAAAATCTGATTAGATAGCTTCTACCAAATATGTATGTACATAAAATATTTACCTTTTTTTTGTTTTCCTTATATATTTTTAATAGAATATATATTATAATTTGAAAAAATTATGTAAATTGAAAAATCACCCTTTGTGATTTGCAACAATTATACTAATGGACTTTAAAACATTTAAATATACTACTTACATGTCAATATTCAATATAATATTATGTTAAATTTATTATAATTATTTTACCAACATTTTATTTTCAAAATTAATACTTAATAATAATAATAGTTGAAATCCATACTTAATTATTTGTATTAACTTCAATTATATCTAGTATATTTTTCGTGGAATTTATGTTTTTTGTTAAAAGTCCAAATGCTTCTAGAATTTCTCTTTAGTACATACCAATACTATTTCATTTAAAAGTGCACTGAATTAAAAATATATTATATATTTACATATTAAATAAAGTAATAACGACTTTTTTGGAATTTGGAGACTCAACTCCTCTTCCCTTGAATACACGTCTAGTATTTGTAGGTAAAAAGGAAGTTAATTATCCTGCATTGAAACATAGTGCTTACATAATAATTTTTAAATAAACATATATTTAATTATATAGTTTTAAATTGTAGTAGTATTATTAATAAAAAAATAAAAGACAATTAATTTAATCACCCAATAATTTGTAATTGATATCCAAGGAGACTTTCCCTACAGATATGATTCTTATTATTTGTCCGCTTAATTATAGTCATAAAAAATTTGAAAATAAATATATATATAGTAGTATACTAGTACATATATATACCTATACATGTATGTATAATATAAATATAATTTTTAAAGAAGGTAGTAATTTATGTATATACTTACTGACGAATCCTTCAAATTAATGGAAACAATAATTATATTTTAAAGTTGTTCTTTTATTCTTCTTCGTTTTTTTTTTTTTTTGTATATACAATTTTTTTTTTTTTTAATGTTTATTTATATAATCTATTTTTATTTTTATATTCATTTAGCTATATAACTCAAACATGAAAAATTATTATGATATGCATAATTACCATCTTTTTTTTAATATATTCTTAGAATATATGATTGAAGGTTATGAAAAATGTTTCATACAAGTATAAATGATTGATTAAGTTTAATTTGTCTTGTTTATTTCCGTAAAGTTGTATGTATTGTTATGATTTACACAAACGTTATGTACTAAACATTTATAATTGCAATAATAAAGTATGGTCATCACTCATCGATATATTGTGTTAATTTAATTACTAATTATAAAAAAAACTATAGCTATATATATATATATATATATATATATTCTATGTATTATGTTGTATTATAGTATTTAATTTAGACGTCCCCATTATCATGTTAAAAATATTAATATTTACTATTTAATGATAGATGAAAGCAATTAAATTATTAAAATATAATATTTAAATAAATAAACAAATAGTTTATCTATAGAAATAAATAAATAAATAATTCAATAAAATCTTAGCCTAGAGTATTATTATATTTGTAAAGTTCGACCGATTTCAAATTAAAAATTCATCGTTAGGTATATACAAAGTAAATACAATTGAGACTGAATATGAAAAAATAAAAATAAAATCGTAACTCAAAATAATTTATAAAATATATTTTTATTCTATAATAACTATATTAATTCATTTTCTGACTAAACTATTTTTAAATTAATTTACGATTTATATGTATGTATTGTTTTTATCATGTTTATAAATTATAAATATTTTTTGTAAGTTAGATATAAACAATACGACATTTGTAATTTGTTAATTCAATAAATTTTGTTTTGTTTTTGTTTCTAGATGAGCCATTTATTTAATATGTTTGTGAAACAAGTAGCCGACTATTGTGACACGTCTTCGATGCCAGGTAAATTCTTTCATACAAGTAAAATTACTATAACATAGACACATGTTTAAACTGTGTAACCGAATAACCTACTGACAACTGGTAAGACTGCGATTGTTGAATTGCTGGGAATATAACGGCTTATTTTATTCTTTAGTTATTGTCTGTATATGATTATAATTATATAGGCTGGAGAGTCTTTTCGACCTTAAAGTATGTAATTCATGCTTATTCCTACTGATATCCATATAAACAGATAAACAGAATATAAAAGAATTCATCACTTTCATGATTATTATGTGTTGTGTATAATATGTGAACTAAATAAACCTAAATAAATAAATCATTGAGGTTGTATCAACGGAACGACGTGCATTCGAATATTTTTAAGAAACAAAATGTAATGTTGAGAGATCAATATTTCCTATTGACTTTCAAGGTAATTCTCGTTGTGTTCTTACGAAATTTATTATAAACAAACATCGTGACTTATAAATCGTTTATATTTTTCTGTGATCATTCATTTAAGTCTCTTGGGTTCATCGTTGTCCAATTAATTTGCATGTCACTATGAAGGTTATTGGCTCTTGCAGATCACGGCTATCATGCATAAATATAGAAAATAAATTTCTTTTATTCGTCAACTTTAAGTACTTGTAGGTATAATATTTTTTTTTCAATTCATCACACTAATTGACTTTTGGTTTAATAATTATCTTTATACTTTTCCTGTTTACTCAAATCAATATATCTTAATAAAAATATAGAAGAGTTATTTAATTCTAATTATATCTTTTTTTTCGTTATTAACTAATAATTAATCGACGTATTTATCTTTATTGTATTTCTACATAGTATTTTACATTAAATAACATTTCAAATATAATGATTAAATATTAAATCACTGTGTATTGACTGGATGTTTTTGATGTTTTTAATTATTTTTTAATACTGTGTATCTACCAGGGACTGGAACCGTTCGAATTTATCGGTATCGGTTCCGGTACTGGTTCTCAGAAAATAAAATAACTGTTCCGGTTCGGTTCCGGTACTGTGATGAAAATTAATAAAGGTACCGGTTTCAGATAATTTCGGTACCGGTTCCTGTTATCAGTAAAATATAATATTATTTCTTATCAATGAAAAAAAAAATAGTGAATATACCATAATATACTATCATCCACTTGTTAGTGTAGTATAGTAGGTAGTAATTATTTTATTATATATTGCTGACAATCAATGTTATCTCCTATAAAATATACAAAACAGTAATATTCTTATAAAATATAATATTCCTATAACTGGTAAAACTAAATTGTTATGTATCAGAATTTAAAGATAATAAAGTTTTAAATTAAAAATTGCATACGATAAATAGGTTAAAAATAATTAAAATATAAATAATAACATTCGCTCTATAGAAGGAGTAGTTAATAATATTTACAATACTTGTCAATCGTCAATAAACTATGAACTTCAATTTACACTAGCGAGTAGTGCGTCTATTTTATTTATATCATCACTTTATTTGAAAGATAATATTGATTCCAATTATGGTATATACTGGGAAAAAAATTTCTATATAATATTATTTTGTGATAAATATACACGTAATAAACACTTCAAATATATAATTTTAAATAGGTAAAGAATAAGAATAAGAACTTTATATAGTTCTAGATATAAGTATAATGAGAATGGATCCCTGATTATTTATAAACAAAGTAGTAACTACAAATAATTTATGCTAAATAAAACTATTTAATTTTGGAACCTAAAAGAACATTTATAATTTTAAAATTCCTGTTCGGTTCCAGTACTTCATTTATCAAAATAAAGTTTCGGTTTCGATTCCAGAACCGGTTCTTTTCGGTTAGGTTCCTGTCTCTGATATCTACTTAACATAGATGGATTTACCAATATAGACATATGAGCATACATATAATATGTATGAACACAATTCGATTTTAGTATAGTTGTTATTTTTAATTATTTTATAGATATATTGTACATACTATACATATAATATTTAATAACAAATATATTAATTAGATGATATTTATACGAATAAAAAACCTATAAAAAATATATGTAAAGAGTTTTTAGTAAAACTATAATTATTGTAACTGTAAAATAATTAATAACATATAGGAATACCAAATAGTAACAACTTATAACTTTAAATATTTAATTCGTGTAATAATCATATAATGTAAAGATTAATTACTAATTTATAATACATTTTTATATTAATTTTATTTAAATATTTTATACATATATATTTTTAATTATTTTGTTTTTACGTTTTAGACTGTAACAAAGTTTTGTTGGTTTATGGTTTAACTAACTTAGCAAAAATGGGTGATGACAGTTTAGATAAAATGGACCCTTATCAAAGAGGATCAAGAACAATGAGTATGTATTTATATCTTTATATTGAAATTATAAAAACTTGTACTGAAAACAACGTACAATTTAAAATAGAAAGTGTTGGCATGTTGTCTATTCTCGTTATTATTTTAGTATGGGAGTCTATGATGAAAGGAGGTTTCTTTACTTCTCAAACAACCAACAAATTTGAACAAGACCTCACCGATCCATTGGGTAAATATTATAAAATAAATATTATATATACGTCAATAATAAAAGCTAACCTATTTATTTCTAATGACAACGATAGAAACAAGTGGTGGAAATGATCTGGGATCAGCATCAAATAATGTCGAAGAAATTGCTACACCACCTGGAGGTTACATCATTGGACCAATGGTTGTAAGAGTAATGCCTGATGGTCGGCCAGTGCCCGGTGATTCTCAAAGGCCTCTGCCTAAAGACGAAGATGCGGAGGAATTTATTGCTATGCGATCCAAACCGATGCCTTCTATGATTGATATGTTAGATCAACGCAAACAACAAACACAAAATAGACCTATTGTGAGACCATTTAGGTACACGCTTAAACCGATAAACTGATTCTTCCAGTTCCAATAATGTGTTCTCATCAACTTGGTACAGTTTCAGATATCATATTTATTTATTTACAAAAAAATGAAATGCAACTTTTAATATACAATATTTTTAATTTATTGTTACAAAAAAACATTTCATCTTGTAAAATTCTATTTCGTCTTTATAATTATTATTATTATTATTATATTTTTATTTTTTAATTAGATTTAAATACGTTTCAGGGTCCTAAATAATTGTGAATACAATTTTTTTTATTTTTAAATTTTATATTGTAGAGTCATACTATTATTTATTAATTTGAAATCATTTTAACTTATTTGTAAATAGTACTGTTAGGTACCATTGTTGTGATATTTATGTTGAAAATTAAGTAAACAATTTTGATAAAATAATAATTGCATTTTATTAATACCTAGGTATATATTGTACGACATATATTCCATCAAAATTTACGAATAATGAAATAATTTTTATAAAAAAGACACAGTGAGGGTCATTTATCATATTCTTTAGTATGTCACATTCTAAAAATAAAATTAATCGATAGTAAAAAGTTTAATCCTTTTATCTGATATTTTTTGTTTTTATATTCCAACAGACAGATTAGCAGGTAAATATAAACTTTAATAAATTTTTGTCAAAGTTGTTAAAATAAGTACAAGTAGGTAGTCATTACAGAACAGATTCTTGCCTTTATTCATTTTTTTTACTAAATAAATTTAATTTGATATTTAAAAATATTGATATCGAGTATTTTTATATGCTCTATAACTTAAGCATTAAACTAGTTTATGTTCGTTATTTAACAGCCTATTTAGAATTTTATAACATACAAAACATAATTTTTGCAAAAAATTATCTTGGTGTATATTAGAATGGTCAACATGAATAGATTGGGGAGCTACACAAATAAATACAATAATTCCAAGAGCCAACATTTTTATAGATACATTTTAAATAATTTGATAATTTCTTATAAATTTATACTTAAAAAATTTAAATTAAAAATATAAAAATAATAAAATCGTTGGATCCCAAACGGCTCCCGTCCAAAAAGGTCTAACAAACAGGTAAATTCCTGAACGGCTCCGGTGTCACAGGCGATTATTACCCCCAATATTATTACCGGGGAGGGGGGTAATAATCGCCTACAGCAACAGGCAATTATTACCTCCCCCGACAATTTTTTACTGGGGGGTATTAATCGCCTGCGGTAATAATCGCCTGAGGTAATAATCGCCTACAGCAACAGGCAATTATTATCCCCCCCTACAATTTTTTACCGGGGGGGTATTAATCGCTTGAGGTAATAATCGCCTACAGCAACAGGCGATTATTACCTCCCACCACAATTTTTTACTGGGGGTATTAATCGTCTGAGGTAATAATCTACAACAGCAACAGACGATTATAACCCCCTCACAATTTTTTACCGGGGGGGTATTAATCGCCTGAGGTAATAATCGCCTACAGCAACAGGTGATTATTACCTCCCCCCAAAATTTTTTACCGGGGGGTATTAATCGCCTGAGGTAATAATGGCCTGTTGCTGTTGTAGATTATTACCTCAGGCGATTAATAACCCCCAGTAAAGAAATGTGAGGGGAGGGGGAGTAATAATTTTTTGTTGCTGTAGGTAATTATTACCTCAGGCGATTATTACCCCCCCCCCCCGGGGAAAAATGTTGAGGGGGTAATAATCGCCTGTTACACCGGTTTTGTACACCACAAATTCCTTCCCACTTTATACAGACTTAAGGTACGATTTGGTTAGAGCGACCGCGACCGCGACCGTGTTTCACTGCGTCAATGTTATTATATGTACCTTAATAATTAATTATTGTGCTTAACAATATTTTTATTTATACATTTTTAAATATTTTTTTAACGTTAAAAATTTAAAATTTAATATTATACTATACGCTTTTTTTTATATAATTTTAATAATTTACATAGTGTACACAAAGAAATTTTTAACCACACCTCTTTTGAGACAGTCCTAAGTCTGTATAAAGTGGGTAGGAATTTGTGGTGTACAAAACCGGAGCCGTTTAGGAATTTATCTGTTCGTTAGACCTTTTTGGACGGGAGCCGTTTGGGAATTAACCTTTTTGTAAAACGGGAGCCGAATGGGCTACGACCAATAAAATATAATAAGTAAATCTTAATTTTATAGATAAAACGTGAGTCCAGGTATGGCACTCAAATTTTTTCCGGAGGGGGGGGGGTAAATATATTTTTTACATGGACTAAGGTTTTTTCAACAAATACTGATATTATTTAAATAAAATATAAATATTTTCCTATCATGTAACATAATATAGCTATTATTATTTTCGTGACAGAACCACTATTTGATGAAAACGAACAAATGGTAATAAATCATAAGTAAAATAAATATACACAATTCAAAGTCTATCTAAAAACTAAAAACATAAATCTTCGAAAATACGAAAGTACTTACATAAATCAAAATTTTTTAAGAAATATATTTCATAAATTCTTTGATGTAACTCTTTTAAAAATAATATTTTATGACTATTATTTCATACATATTTTTCAGTGCCCCCCCCCACCCACAGCTGAACTATTTTCTGGGAAGGCTAGATCCCCCTTGGCGTCGTGTCTGCGTGAGCCACATGTGGCTCGCGGCCACAAGTTGGCCATTTCCGGTATATATAATAAATATATATTGATATATTAAAATTAATTAAATTTTAGCATATTTTAGCTTTTACAATTGTATTTAAAAAATGTCTTTATTTTTTAATTTTAACAATGTTGCAGTCTCAGTACAATCACATCCTTTGTTCATCTTAATAAAAGTAAGAAAATAATAAAAAACAACCACAAAATAATCATTATTTCAACATTACCATATATAGATATAGATATATGTAGATATATATAGATATAGATATATGTCCCATGAGGAGTATAGAACAAAATTATTCATTTTATATAGGAGTGGCATTATTAATAATTAATTTTACAGTTTGCATCACATTAGAACGAAACATTTTTTTTATAAAAAAATATACTGTAGGCGCTTTTTTATAGGTTATAGCTGTAATTTAGAAAAAATTCATCTGTTAAGCTACTTTGATCATAGATTATGAGATTTAATTGGCTAGCATTTCTTATTGAAACTAAATTAATATCATCAGTAACTATGAAAATATGACTTGAGACTTTAGATTAGGACAAATGAAGGTACATGATCATGTTTAGCTACTGATTATTATAATATCCTAAAAATTCTTGATGTTAGAAACGTAAGTCAACATAATTTATAAAATGTGGAAATGTGTGGGAATTATATATTTGCACATATATTTATGCCACTGATTACTGGTTTAATTTTTAAGTATATGTTTTCATACAGTCACTAAGGGGTATTTTTGCTATCTCAGAAATTTTTGTGAGGTAACAAGGGTATATTTTTGCTACCCCAAAAAATTCATAGATTTTAAAAATATGTTCAACATCGAATATATTAATTTCAAACATTTTCTTTTATTATTCAAGTATGTATGAACATAGACTATCTATTATTGTGATTCTATCCAAAATAATTATATTTTGTGATAAGTCCATTATGGACAATCAGACAATGTATAGACCAGTGGTTCCCAACCCATGGGCCGCGTCCCACAAGTGAGCCGCGAGCAGTTGGTACTGGGCCGTGAACCATATTTTATTAACATTATTTACATATATTTTTAAAATATTAAATATCAGCAAGTGAAGAAGATTCGTTGATTGAACTCTAATGTGATCAGACTCTAAACTCGCTTTTTAAAACTACACCATTATTACCATTATACTTAAATATTCGGCGAGACTTTCCAACAATTTCTAAAATTTTACTTAGAAATTTGGTGGGCTATATTTCGACAACCTGTGTGTCTTTGTGAACGAGCTTTTTCTACTTTTTAAAAAATAAATGTAGGAATAAATTGAATTTTGAGTGATTTAAAGCTAAAACTTTTCATTTTTAATCCAAATATTGATTCTCTCATTGGGAACAATCCAAAATTACATTAAATTGTTTAACTCTTGAATAATCTATTTCAATGAAGTTCTATTTTTTGATAAACAATTGTTTTTTAATAAATAAATTGTAATAACTGACGTATGTGCATATTATACATATACAACTATTGGTGGGCCTCAAACATTTTCTACGAAATTGGTGGTCCGCACTACTAAAAAGGTTGGTAACCGCTGGTATAGACTATACATCATACCAAGATTTATGAAAAAAAAGGTTAGCTAGTTATTATATTAAACCTATAAAAATTATTTATTCTTTTTCTAAAAATAAACTTTGCTACCCCAAAATTTGGAATCTAGTGACGCTCATTATTGCAAACATAAACAGAATGAAGTTGTTATTAAATTATGTATATATTACGATAAAAATGTTAAATGTCACCTTTAACCTTTACAAGAGTATAACCATTTGTACATCAAAATAAAATGTAAATATAAAAATAAATCTTTTTTTTTTTTTTAAAGTACAGAGATCAAATATAACAATTATATAATATTATAAATCTTGGGAAAAAAAATGAAAAAAAATGTAACTATTTTCTAAGGTTTCTTTCTTCTTCTTCGCGTATTTGAAGCTGGAGGGTCATAAGTTACTTTATTATCATTTGTCTCGTTGGAATTATACATATCTGAAAAAGAATAAGTTGGAGAGCCTTCTCGTACTAATGATTCTGAAGAACTTATGTCATCTTCAGAATCATTAATGACTTCTTCCCAGTTAATTTCACCATCTGGTTCACTATTTTCAACCATAGTATTAATATTTTGTAATGTAACAACTTGCATTCCCTAAAAAAAAGAAATAATAACTAATAATAAAAATAAAACAATCAGTATATAGTTGATACTTGTAAATTAATACATTAATAAATAGTATATACATGTATATATATAGAAATGAATAATGAAGCTGGGAGTATAATTATATTTTCAATGTACGACCGGTTTTAAATTAAAAATTCTTCATCAAGAACATACAAAATCGCGACTAAATAAGAAAAAATAAATAAAGGGATACAATGAAAAATGTTATTTGTTTAATTAATTTTAATAGGAGTACTTATTTAAAATTAGTTCTTATTGAACATAGATATGTTAAGTAATATAAATACTTAAGTTATTATTTATACTTATTATAAGTAAACTAAGTTTTTATATACTAAGTACTATACTTATAACTACTATTTATGATTTTCTAAAATGTAATGATGTAAGTTATTATTTTAAAAACTTAAAAATTCGTTAATTTAAAATATTATTAAAATTAATTTTTTTATTTCATTGTGTATCTATAATTCTTCTAAAACTGAATTAATGCAAATGTTATTTTGAGTATTTAATATTTCTAAATCTGTATTAATATCAAAATGTATATTATTTTTATTTTCTAAAACATGTGATATAACTATTTATTTATATATTAAATAATTAAAACAAAAAATTAGAATTATGATAAGAAACAATTAGGTAACTTACATATAATTGAAAACCTTTTATCACAAAGTTTAATAAAATATTTGTAAATTTTTTTCCAGTTGCCATCAATGTTTGCAAACCACCTCTTTTAAAATTATTTATTTGAGAATCTATATCCTATACAAATACATAGTTATTAATATTATTATAAATTTATCAAAGTAAACTTTCAAATTTTAATTTTTAATGTAATAATAATAAAGAATAATTTGTTTATTACATATTACAATATTATAATGTTAAAAAAATAAGTCATCATTAATATTAATAAAATCATAATGATAGAGTCTATGATTTATTACGAAAAGAAATACTATATAAAAATATCACTGAATACCTTTTCATGTTTTTTTAAAAAAGGACTTATTATGTTTTTATACACATAAGTTAAAGAACTATCTGAAGTTGGATATGTCATGTACAAGAACAAAAGCTTCAATTCATTATAAAATGGACACCTGCAAAAATTAAATAATAAATATTTATAAGTACTTTTTTCAACATTAGAAATTTTTACTTATCACTTATAGACAACATTAATTGCAAATTGAAAATTAATTTCATTTTTATATTTTTACAGTGAAACCTTAATATCTAGAAGTCACAAGGAACTAAATAAATAAATAAAATTTAAAATAAAAATGTTTTATTATTGGGAAGAATGTGTATTCATAATATAGAATGTATTTATATATTGTATACATATTATTAGTATTCATCATTTGGGCAAATATAAATTATTTTCCATGAAAGTAGAAAATCTGTCACTTTTGTTTGTTTTTGTTTAGTATTAGAAGTATGTTAAACAAAACTACCTAAATTATTGAGTCCAAAAAAAAATGCTATTAGAAACTCCTGACTGTTGTTGAACATATCTTTGAAATTCATGAATATATATCTGTATAACTTTATTACCATTATCGGTCACTAGCTAAACTATAATAAAATATCAATGTTATTACAGCGTTGTGTGTACAAGGTCTGTCATTTATTTTATATTTTATAGTCGGGGCATTTTATTCTTTATCTTATCTATCATATATTTGAGTTAGTGAATTGTAATAGGTGAGGAGTACAGGATAATGACTTTGACTAATAGAAAAATTCGACATATGAAAATTTGATACACCAAAATAACTTAACATGCAAGTCCAATACTGGATGATCGGAACTGAAAAAAAAATTTGACATACAGAAACTTCAAGATACCAAAGTTCTACTGTAATAATATAAATAATAGATACATACCAAGGGCCAATAAATATGTCTGTTATTGTTTCTGCAGAAGTGAACATAGCAAAAGTTATCCAATACATTAGCCATATACCCTGAATCAAATAAATATCTATAATAAATAAAGTAATTTTAACAGTATCACAAAGTGAGCTTAGGTATAAAAGAGGTAGAATTGAATGAATTGATTTAAATTATGATGGTTGGGTAAAAATTTTTTTTATTAAAGAACTCTACAAGATATTTTATTTAATATCATTAAATTACTTTTTAATATTAACAGTAGATTTTTTTAAATTTCCTAAATATTTTAATATATTTAAAGTCTTGAACTAGTTAGGAAGAATTGAGCTGTATTATATTTTCTAATTGAATAAAAAATAAAATAAATTAATAATACTTGCTACGTAATAATAACAAATAAACCAAATTATTTAACTTTATTAATTATGCCAATTAAATACTAAGATTAATATGACCATATGCAATTTCATAGTGTCAATTGTGTACTGCTCTATTTCTCTAATGTTTTTATTATACATTATACCTATTCTTTGTAATTATTAAATATTATCTTATCTTGTTACCATTCGTTACTTATATCCACTTCAACATTATTTTATACACAAAATATTAAGCAATAAAATAATAAAATAAAACATAAATTATATAATTTTTAATACTCATAAATAAATATATAATTAAAAAGTATTTATTTATATATTAAGATTAGGGTTATCAATTATAATTACCTTTTATAAATTATTAAATATTAAACTTGAGATACAACAATTTTAAATCTAAATAAACATATTGTTTTCTAATAAATGAAACATATGGAATACAAATAAAACATATTAAATATTTAAATATACACAATTTGTTTGATAGAACCAAATACTTAATTCTAGTAAAACTATTTTTACTATACACTATATACTTCAATAAATAAATACATACATAATTAGTTGATCTCTTTGTCTTGAGGACTTTATACGACATATATCCAGGATACAATAAACCAAAAACCATACTGAAAATAAATATTAAAGAATTAAGTATTTAAATTGCCTAAGCCGTAAATAATAAACTGAAACAAAATGAAAATATATAAATTTTAAAATTATTACTTTACTTTTTTAAATATTATTTAACTAAACTAAATAGTAACTATATAAGGTTCAACTAAATACTTTAGAATTAATCTCAGTTCTTGCTAAATTAGATACACCATATCTAATACATTTATAGATCAAAGAAAAAAGTGAAAGTTCAATTGGTTAGTCAAACATTACTCTGAGATATGCATTGAAAATAAGTCTACTATATGAATTTACCATAAGACCGACATATGACATTCAAAATCAGGTTGTAACAATAAGTCTAATACTAAGTTGATATAATGATACCCAAAACATCACCTTTCAGATAAATTTACCATCATTACAGCCTATTGGTACAAAAAAAAAATATCCCATTCCCCGCGACAGATGTTAGATTTATTTATAAAGAACTATGGTTTGAAGAGTCAATAAAATAATATAACTATAAAACACTACAAAATAAATAAATAAATAAATAAATAACATTCATTAATATAATCATATCTAATAAGAAGTTGAGTAGATAGTTGTTCGACATGAAATATGAAGTTCATCACATTATGTGGAATTAATACAATAATTACACAAATGACAAATACAAATATAAAAAAATAAACCATATACTTACATTAATGGTTTACATAATATATCAGGCAACATTTTAAAATAATGAATAAACAATACTTAAACGAAATCAATTAAATCAAATGGCAAATTATTAAAAAGCCTTATGTATGTTAAGCTACAGACATGTTCCTGCTGTTGAGAAAATAAATAGAAATCACGATTACTATATAACCGTAACGTTGTTTTAAAACAAAAAGAAATACCGTTCATTGGTAATCCACCAATGACAGACGTTCAGATGGTTATTTGATTTTGATAACTACTATCATCTACTGATAACAAAACTAATACTATTTGTGATCAATAACATTATACTGTGTAGTTTGTAAATAAAATAAGATTATAAATTTTCTTTATTTAAGCCATAGAGTAATTAATACTCCCTTTAGCTGTTATTGTTTCATTGTTTTTTTTAGAAAACATTTAATGGGCTTATAGTTATTACTATACCATATTTGTTATCAATTTTAATTACTATGATGATGTGCATTTAATTACAATTTATCCAAATGGAACATTATTTTCCAACAATCAATAATAAAAAAAAATATGAGACACGCTGTGGAACTCGTCCAAAAATAAAAATGAACCGTAAATTGTCCGGGGTTGTTACCCGAACTCACAAGTCTATTCTGAGTGAAGGCATATTTTCGGTAAAGTACAGTTTAACTTATTATTTTTCTTATATCTGAAATATTATTTTTTCTGGTCCTAAATTTATATATATTGTGAATGAAGTGTTATTTACTGTTGCTAGTGCACATAAATCTAAATAAATTATTGTAGTTCACTAATCTTAATTTTCAAATGTCATATTTTTTATGAGAATTTAATCCCTTTTATATCCCACTTCCATGTACAGTATGTAATAAACAGGGCTTGGAAGTAGTAGCACTAAACATTTTACTTTTTAGCTTTTAAATATGTACTTAAAAACCAAAATATGCGTTATAAATAGCATAGGAAATTTAAAAATATGCATTTAAGAATTATAAATGTATTAGCAAAAAAAATGAAATGTAATTTTACAATTAGAGTCGAACTTAGTTAACCGAGGTTGTAGGGATTGGAAAAAAAGATTAAGTTATCCAAGAATTCAAGCTATTCAAATTAAATTTCAAAATATGGATTTTTTTTTAAAATAGTACAATATTTCTTTGTATTTATAAAAAAATATAATAAAAAATATTTACTATTTATATATTATATATAATTTTAAAAAGGTATGTATAAACAAAAATTAGGTTAGAAAATTATTAAAAAAAAAGTATTTATTTTTATTTGAATTTTGCTATTGATTTCTGCATTTGCAGTGAATTATTCAATTTTATTTAAAGCTTAGGATAGTTTATTACTGACCTCTTGTTTGTTTTCTACGAATTGCCTCAATTCATTATATTGCATTCGTACATACATATACAATATACTTAGGTGTATGAGAGAAATATCATAATTTTATAATATTATAAAACTTGGAACTACGAGTTATTCACGAAAATATTCAAGTTAAACAAGATTTTTTCACATTCTAGGAAATTCTAGTGACCAGGAAAAAAATTTGAGGTATCAACAATTTATTATTAATGAAGTTAAGTTTTCTTGTATTTTTTAATTTGAATGATCTGCGGTTATCTGATAGTATACTTTTGTAAGTGGAAAATGAACGCTTAGCGTTGATGGTTGTTGAAGTTAAACATTCACTGAGGTCTATTTATTTATTTATTCTATGTATTATTTATATTTTTAAAATTATAACAGAGTAAATTTTTATTTTCAAAAAAATATGATTATTTCCTTTATTATGTGAAAATATACCCAAAAATAGTACTAATAACTCTAAATTAGCAAGATAGCAATAAAAACCGTTAATATGTTAAAAATAGCATCACAACATTTCTTGTATGATATCAGAGAAATGTGGAACATATTTGTGTATTAATTTGTATGTTCTGGAATAAACCAAGAAAAATATGTATTTGCTAAAACTTCCAAGTCCTGATAATGAGCTAAATATTCTATGTGATTGAGAAAAAATGTTCCCAGATAATAAGTCTCTGAAAAAAAGTTCCTAGTAAAAAAATTCCTCAGAAAGAAAGTCACCCGGAAAATAAGTTCACCCTTTCTTTTAATTAAAAATCTCCATAACCGGCATCTTTTCTCTACTATATGTCTTACCAAAAACGTCCCTTTTATTTTACTATGTGTCTTCCGATCTTCCAATCTTTGATCAAAGCCATCCTCAACTTTTTCCTCTCAGAGTGCTTTTTATTATAATTACATTTTTCTCTGATATATATGTATGTATATGTTTTTTTTATTTTCCCCTTCTCTCTGTATACTCTTTTAATTGTTAAGACAAATGTATTTTTAATATAAATTTCTTAAATAAAAACTGTGTATAACTGTCAAACTATAGCTTCTTATGTCAATAAATTGTCATTTACTATTTACAGATAAGATTTGTCAACCTAATTTATTTTATGAATAAAACAAGTATAGTGGAAATATAATTTTATTTACACTGTAACGGGAGATTTTTTCCGGGGACTTTTTTTATGTTTATCATCCTATGTATCCTATATGATAATAATAATTATTTCTTAAAAAATATTAAATTAAAGTTTTTTTTAAAGTAGCTTACAGTCATTATTTTTTTTAGTATGTATTATAAATATACTGATGAATATTTTTTAACACATCAGAAATCAACCTATTATTTTCTTATTATTCTTAATCTTAATTATATATAGACTTAAAAACTGAAACATAAAATTTATTAAAATTATAGTTAATTAAATTTTACAATCATTATTCAGTTGGTATTTTAGTTTTGAGTCTTACCAATTTATTATACATTTTATTTATTTATTTTTTAAATTTTTTATATGACTTACCCTAATTCACTTTTATAATTATTTAGAAATCAGGAATAGGGAAGCCATCAATTGTTCATGCAGTGGTCATAATATTTTTGGAATATTTTGCATGGAGTTTGCTAACATTGCCAGTAATATCTGTAAGTATAAAAAAGTTATAATTTTATTATATTTCTTAGTATAGCGGAAATATATATATCAATAATCTATCAGTTAAATTTTTGTACATTAAAATTGAATGGTTATTCTTAAGTTTTCAACAATAATTTCTTTTCAGAAATTAAACCACACATTTCAAGATCATGCCTTGTTTATGAATGGTATTATTTGGGGTATAAAGGTATAGAAATACATAATTATTAAATTTCATATTATTTTTATTGTTTTCAATTATTTGTTTAGGGCATTTTATCATTCTTAAGTGCACCATTGATTGGTGCCTTATCTGATGTTTGGGGACGAAAATTATTTTTATTATTGACAGTATTTTTTACTTGTATTCCAATACCATTTATGTGTATTAATTCTGGGTAATTTTTTAAATTACATTCTTAACTTATCATTTTTGTTATTTAAATATCAATATTGTTCTTTTATTTTCAGATGGTTTTTTGCCTTGATTAGCATATCTGGATTATTTTCTGTTACATTTTCAGTCGTATTTGCTTATGTAGCTGATGTAAGTGATGAAAAAGATAGAAGCCGTTACTATGGATGGGTATATATTTAACTGTTTATTTTACATTTAATTATATTATTCTAGAAAAAAACATTCATTCATTTTATATTTTTAAGATAACTGGAACATTTGGAGCTAGTATGGTTTTTGGACCTGCTCTAGGTTCATATACTATGGAAATATACAGCACTTCTTTTGTTATATTTTTAGCTTCATTTGTAGCACTTTTAAATGTTATTTTCATTATTTTTGCTGTGCCTGAAAGTTTACCATACAAACAACGAATTTCTACTAACTGTATAACATGGAAAAAAGCTGATCCTTTTGTGGTAGGATTTAAAATAATATATTTTTATGTAGGTTTTATTTTTTTAAATTTTTTCCAGGCTTTGAGAATGGTTGGTCGTGATCGAACTATTTTGATATTGTGTTTAACTGTATTTTTATCATATCTTCCAGAAGCTGGAGAATACTCATCTTTGTTTGTTTATTTAAGACTCGTAAGTATTAAAAATCAATAAAAATAATAAGTTACTAGAAATATATAAATTTAGGTAATGGTCCAATATGCGACCTACTGATAAGATTGAGTTGATCTACAGCATAGGTTCCCATAGTGTGCTCCGCGCCGCGCTGTCAATAAATATTATCGAGTCTCACATTTTTCTTATGATTAGTCATGCTATGACTTAGAGAAGGGCGCCTTGAAAAAACCTTGGATCAAAAAGGGCGCCTTGAATCGAAAAAGTTTGGGATGCTTTACCGCGGTTATTGTCGTTATGGGCATTTTATTTTTATTTTTGTTCAATATTTCTATATTTTTCTCCGATAGGTATTTACAATCATTAATAATGTCTTTACTGTCCTCAGTTAGTACAGTTCCAATTTCATTCGTATGTGATGTGCGCTCATTTTGTAATTTTTTATTTGAGTTTTATTTTGTGTGTGTGAATTTTTCTAATTCAACATGACATCTACTATTGGTCACCTATATAGGCACATTATTAGAGATGAAGTGGTATGTGTTCAATATTTAAAAGACCGAGGGTTATTACTGGCCGATAATAAGAAGTAATAAAAAACGAAATTCTGATGGCCCTATGAAAAAAGTAGTAATATTATGATGTGCAAAACGGGGTTGCCAGACTTACCAATCGATTCGTAAAGATAGTGACTTTATTACCTACACGGCCGTTGTAATAGTCAGCTATCATTATGTGAAATAATATAATATTAAAAAAAATGGGGTGTCTCCTTTACTAGACAAACAACTCCAAGAAGAGTGGTGGAGATCATGTCAAAATCCAAAAACTATGCTTGATGAATATTTGATCGATATGAAAAATATGTTTCATAACAATATGGACTAAAATAATAAATAGTTATTGATGACACTGAGAAGTGGAATGAAAAAAAGGTTAGATAAAATTATTTACATTTAATTACATTTATAACGTAGTTCGCATATTGGACCATAAATCAGTGTGTAGGTCACATATTGGACCGTTACCTAAATTTAGTTTATTATAATTCTGAAGAGAGATCCTGGGTTCGACCTTCAGGATTAAAAAAAGAGTAAAATTGTATTTATAACCAAATTAAAATGTATGAGTCATATAAAATGTTATTTTTTGAATTTGAATGATATAATGATTAATTTATAACATATAGATATTAATTATAATATTATAAACTTTCTTACTTTTTGGAAAAATAGCTATTAATAAATATTGTTGTATAGAAAACCTTTATTATATGATTATTTTAATCACTTAAATATATATATTTATTATTTATCGAATAATTTAACTTTATTATTACGGTTTTAGGTGATGGGATTTAGTATGTTTAAAGTATCAATACTTATTGCATTACTAGGACTATTTTCAGCAGCTATTCAATCTGTACTTGGCTTAATAATGAAATTAATGGGAGCTAAATATACAATAATGATTGGTCTAGTGTTTGAAATTATGCAACTCATGTGGTTTGGATTTGGTTCAGAAACTTGGTAAATAAATATATATGTTTAAAATATAATGTTAAAATTAATATTATTTTGTATTTATATTTTATAGGGTTATGTGGTCAGCCTGTCTCTTGGCTGCTATTTCCAGTATTACATATCCTGCTATTAGTTCATTTATTTCCATTCATTCTGATGTGGACAAACAAGGTTTTTATATTAAATAAAAAGTTTGAATTTAATAATTACAAATTTTAATTAAATTTATTTAGGTGTTGTTCAAGGATTAGTAACTGGTGTGAGAGGTCTTTGTGGTGGACTAGGACCGGCAATGTTTGGATTTATATTCTATTTGTTTAACGTTAATTTAAATGAAGGATTGCAAGTTGATCATACTTCTTTTCATTCACTTAACAGTTCAATTATTATTAAGCACATCAAATATAATGTTAACAATGATCCATCTTCTTCGGTATTTATAAACTATAACTTAAGTAGTATTGTTTTTGTAATTATTATATTATATATCTATTAGCAACTTACATTTTTGATTTTAGATGATTCCTGGACCACCATTTGTCTTCGGTTCACTTCTAGTTATGTGTGCATTATTAGTGTCCGTGTTTATTCCTGAAAATGTTCCCATTGGTTCTGACCTACGCCATAAACAAATTGGTAAACATAATTACTTTTATTTTGAATAATGTAATTAAATATTTTATGTAATAATATCTTTCAAAATTAGTTTTTAAATAAATTATTTTCATTATAGAATTTGTGAAATATAACAAAAGTTACCAATTATGATTTAATTAAAATCAAGAATAATAAACCAAATTTTTTTAGTCAGATGAATAATAGTGAATTTACCTTTTGAATTTAAAATCAATGTACCATTGGTTTGAAAATTGATCCCAAGTAAAGGATATAAGAATAATTTCACATATTTTTCACTGTTTTAGATCATGGTCAAAATGTTATTATTATATCCTCTTGTATTGTCAAACAATAATAAATTAAAATTTGGAGAGAATTAAAAATTTTAAGTGTTTTTATTAATAATATGAATTTGATTTAATTATTCAAAAAGTTATAACTATGAAATGGTAAATTGAGTATTCTTCTAATGTCTTAAATGATGACAATTACTATTTAATACTTATGAAATAACAATAAAGTAACTAATATCATTTAATTTTATTGGCATTTAAAAAAAAAATCTATGATAACATGATTATTTAAAATATCTTGTAGCTCAAAAAAGTCAAAATTTTTGAAATTCATACCATCTATAGCAAATAGTGATTAAAGTATTTATTAAAAATTCTAGTCTTTAAAATTTTTATCTTGAGTCCCTCAACGAAATAATAAAATTGATTCGTTGAAACCCAGTATGCCACAAATTTTTTCAGATTTTTCTTTTGTACTTTTCATCATTTTTTGCAATTATCAAGAAAATCTTTGGGTTTTTTTTTTTTTTAAATAACTAGATATGTCCTGTAAGAAATCATTTACTCTATTCTGTGCAGAAACCTATGATTGAAACAACCTTTCGGATCAAAATCGTGTAGACAAAAAATATAAAATAAAACATACACATCATGGTAAAAATAGCTTCATTATATCAATCAGAATCTAAAATTACATTGGTTCGCAAATAATAATTACATATATTAGAATTCACTTTTGCAGTATTGTATTAAAGTCTGTGATAACATTCTTTATAATATAATGATTAGTAATGTTATTTTATTAAAGTATACTTGGTTTTTATATTTTTGAGGGTCATTTACCCAACACGAAGGACATTTATGGGTTGCCTTAACATAGAGGTTGAAAAACACTGGTCTACGCAATGCCTCAACAATTAGAAAATTAGATATTAATTATTTATTTATATATATTATTTATTTCTTAATTCTTAAAAATATATTTCATATAAATGTTGATTTATAAAATTATAAATTTTTTGATAACTTTGTAACATAAAATAATATCAGAAGTATTTAAAAATTGATGTCCATTTCAGTAAATTTCTATGTGATGAAATATTTTTAGTTTTTATTTAAAAAAAAAAAAATGAAGTGTTCAATATAAATTTTAGGTATTAGGTAGATTCACAATAGATTATACAAAATGGGCAATCGTTTTTGAGATTTAAATAATTAACTAAGTTTTCTTATCCCAGAATTATAATATTTTTCACTTAAAAATAAGTTAAATCAACCATAACTATAGCCATTCCATTGAACTATTATTATTTTATATTGTTTATCTATGTTTTAGGTTCAACTCAAGTACAGTATCAAATCGGTCGAATAAACCTACAATCTTATCTTTGATTAAATGTCTAGTCAAAATTAGTTGTTTTTTAGAAATGGTTGTCTTATAAAATAAAGCTATTATGTTGTGTTAAATTCCTAAAAACCTTACACAATTAATATTTTTAGTATTTTTTCTCGTTAAATACAGGTTATATTAAAACAAAATACTATTTTGTAAGTCTTTAAATTTTACATTATTATTACACAATAATTTTCTTTTGCATTAAAAATAAGCTTTTAGTTATTCAATAAAACTATTTTTGAAGCATAATATAACTTAAATCAAAGTTTTTACATAATATTCCCAGCATGAAATAATTTGTATTTTCATTGTATTTTAAATCATCAGTAATTATATGTTTATTTTACTATTATTACTATAAACTATTAATCTAGATTCAAAGTATATAATTGTGTGTTGTTGATGTTTCTATGCACATCTGTACTTGAAAATGTGTAATATGTTCAAATAATTTATTGGAAAATATTAAGTTTAAAAGTGAAAACAAAATGCATTTATTTATGATAATTTATTCTAAGAATTTTAAGATGTGTTTAAGAACTATGTTTTGGGTACAGTTTTTACTAGTTATATCTTCATGTAAATTTAACTTTAGAGGATAATTTGGTATTTTAGTTTTTAATTTTGTTATTGATCTCTTATATTAGTTAAAAGTTTTTATTAAATAAATCTATCCATATTACTAAAAGACAATGATCATTAAATGAGAGAAATTTGATGCTGTTTAAAACTTATGTATTAAATAATAACAATTTCTGTGTATTACATTTTTCATATTGATTTAGTATTTGAAATGTGAACATTTAAATATTGTAATTAAAATTCTATGTGATAGTGTTTTGTTTTTTTTCCTGTGTTCTTGATCTTTTGATGTACAAATAAATTTATTATTACAAAATTATGTTTATCTTAATTTTATATATACTGATGGATTATGGTGTTGAAAAAAATCAATAAGTATGGGATAACTTAAGTACTTTATTTTAATTGATTGGACCATAATTTGTAGAGCGATTGTCACGGCTGCTGCTTGAAGACAGATTGATTTGTATATAGATGCACCTAGGAAAGTATAAGAAGGTAATGATCACCACCAAATATTTGAAATTGAATTTCTGGTTTATACACATAATATTTTTAGTATATACCAACTCGTGTTAAATTTTTTTACTGTAGTTTATTTTTCTCAAATATTTTATTTTATATCCAGTGGTTTAGAGATATAAATTAAAAAAAAAAAAGTGTAATTTTGATAATTCTAAGCAACCAATTAAAAAGGGCTTGTTCTAACATTTATAGTTCTTTCAAATTACGATTCTATGAAGTTCTGCAATATTTGATTGTACTTTCCCTATACACAACAAATTAAAAATTGGTTGTAGAAAACAGAAATATGTACAGCAACAGTTTACTAATTCGACCACAAAAAATTTTGAAAAAGATGTTACAAATTATATAAATAAAAATCCGCGTTAAATAAATACACAACTTGAAAATAGGAAAATTAACAAATTAGATTCTTACTGAGCAACATAAAAGTATGTTATTTATATTTGTTATCTATTGGTTGTAACTATTTTAAATATAATTTGATGACAGTTATTTATTTTTCATTTTCAGTGTTATATAATAGATATAAAGAATGCAAATAAATGATAATGTTGAAGTTATGTTACAAAAGTAATATAAAAGTAAAGGTTCTTTGAGTTGTATGTATGGTGAAGCGGGTTAGTGAGGCTTACTTAATTTTAGTCCCTAAAATCAGTAGCGTAATTTTGGGGGGGAGGCTTTTGCCCCCTCCTTATCATTAGCGAGTCGCTGTTGGTCGGATTTAGGCCACAAGCCCTCTAGAAATGAACTTTTCTGGTCAGAAGTTTTGCCCCCCCCCTCCCTTTCAAAAACTGAAATGACGCCATTGCCTAAAAAGAAAATCTAGTGCGACTATAAGCATGAATGAAACTATTTTAGATTTTTTCAACATTCACGTTTGTGAACGTTCAACAGCTTTTGCATAATTCCTCCTTAGGTCAATTTCCCGCGGCCCTAGGAAGTGCAACCCACTCATGTAATGAATTTACACGGTCAACTACAGAATTATACCCAGCGAAAACTTTCCGCAAAACCTGGTTTGCGCCAAAAACACCGATTTCAGGAATTTAAGTGGTTCATGGAGCAGAAAACGGCAATTCGACCGACGACGTTTTGCGTCAACACGAAGCGGTGATTGTAATGCGCACGCGCGATGCGTACACCTAAACAGAACCACAACGAATGGCGCCGAGTTATTCTAAAAAGTCATAGTCACGGCGTGATTGGCACCGTCATTGGTTAAGTGCTATGGTCATTTCCATGCATTTTGTGACGTCATGTGTTCCGATATCACGTTCTTTGTGTCACGACGGCTTATTTTGCGGTATATTTGTCGGCAAATACGGAAGCGGTGGGCTTATTTTCGATGTTACGACGAACCGTGGTGCAAACCCAACAGATCGCTGCTGAATTTCCCCGTATTGTCCATCTTTTAATTTATTAAACCGATATTAGCGGTTATCGTTTTTGCCGGGTTTTTCCATGATGCGTCTCAGAGGTGCAGCTTAGGTTATGTTTCTCATGGTACCTCTGCATATCTTTACCTTGTTACCTTCTCGAACTCTGATACATCATCGCCGCGACGAAGAATCATCAAGAGTTTTCTCTGATAACTTTTCTAGTTTTTTTGAATGAGTTGAACCCGATCGGTTTTTCTGTAAATGGTCAATATCGTTCGTAGTATCGATATTGTACATCTGTAACGCCATCATCTCCGTTCGTTTCACGGATTAATTGACGTTACACATTCTTGTTCGGTTTCAAGTTGTATTTTGTAGCGTCAACAATGCTTATCACGTTCAAAAATTTGCAACAGCAAACGTTCAAATTGGAAATCGATTCGGACCAAACGGTAATATAACATGATCTCTGATTTTTTTGTGTGAAAATCAGAAGTCTAGCTTCTGGTAGTTGTATCGACCAAATTTAATTTAGATGTACCATATATGTCTTTTGTACATATAATTCACAGCATACGCCGTAAACAATATCCTACAGGTTTAAAACCGTGTGTTTGACATTGCTTTAATGCGAGTCTTTAATTGCGTTTTCCTGTTAGACATCATTGTTTCCCACACATAATCAGTACATTTTAATTAGAACGTTCTGCTTAGAATTTGTTTATTTAAATACATTTATATATTCGATTGAATCCTTATATAAGTACATAATTTTTAATTTGCTTGTAACCTTAATAACCTGATACCCTCATAATTGCGTCAAATTTAGGTTTAAACACCCTGTCTTCCAGAAGAAAATTTTTTGATATCTCTTTTATTTACAAAATATTAAATAATCAAATTAAATGTCCTGAAATTTTGGGGGAAATAGATTGGTTGGTCCCTACTTTTTACTCAAGATCTAAATTAACTTTCAATGAGCCATTCCACTCACAACTATATTGTTTTAATGGACCTATATGTCGTATGCTTCAAAACTGTAATGAATTTAATTTCGATTTTAATTTTGATGAAGAATCTAAACTTCGGCTTTTATGTCTAAGTTTCAAATAGAAAATCACCAAACTGTATTATGTACAACTCTAATATAAATAAGTAATGTAGATAATTAAAATTATATATAATTGTTAGTTTTTAAAATACACAAACATAGAAATAAGTAATTAAAATTAAATACTACTATTAGATTTTATTATTTATTATTATCATCATTATCATTATAACTTATATTTATAATTTTTGTAAAATATGCTGAAACTCAATTGCTCTATATGGGCGTTAATAAACTATTATTATTATTATTATTATAACAATTCCTAAATAAATTTAGACTTATAAAAAATGTTAATAAATTTAAGTATATTCTTTTCATATGCTTGTTAAAATTTATTATTTATTCAATTGAATTAGTTCAATTTATATGTATATGAACTAGTACAATAGCTTTTGTTCTTTTAAATTTAAAGTATATGCAGCATATTTTATAAAATATGAAAAACTACTTATTTTGTATTAACTAAAATAATGTAATGTTTCTTACTATTATTTATAATTTGTTTACTTACAATATAGAAAGTCTTAAAGTTATTTGAAAATTATATATTTTAATGCACATTAACCCTGTGTTTAACCTAACCATTATGTTAATTAATAAAATAATTTATAGAATAAAGTTTGATTTTTCCAGGTAAAACAATTAAAAGATAAGCTGCAAGCTGAAAAAGGATCTGAATACTTGGCAGAAAATCAAAAATTGATTTATGCAGGTTGGTTTTATTTTAACTTAACATGATAATTAATTTGAATCTACTCGTTTGAATATTTTATCATGTAACTTATTACTTCTTCTTTCTCGCCATCTTTATCCTAAACCTCCACTAGTCTCGATTTTCTACATTGAAGTAACTTCAAGTAATTTATTACTATACAGGAAAAATACTTAGTGATGATACTAAAATTAGTGATTGTAACATTGACCCCAAAAAATTTGTGGTGGTTATGGTTTCTAAGTCTATTGGTGCTCCTAGTGCTGCTAATTCTTCTACTACCACTAAATCGACCACATCAGCATCTGCTTCTACCTCTGATAAACCAACTGAAAGGTAATATTTATTTCAATATTTTAACTGTTGATATTTATTTATTTAAATTATGTTATTGCTTATTATTTTTGTATAGTGCTCCTGTAACAGCTGAAAAAAATAAAATTGAAAGTCAACAAACACCACCAATAGTAGCAACACCTGCTCCTGTTGAGGCTGCTTCTAACGATGAATTTGAAGGAATGGTTCAAAATATTATGGATATGGGATACGAAAGAACCCAGGTATGATTTTTTTTTATTTGTATAACAACAATATAATAATACATTTTTGATACATATATTTAATGCTTTTTATACAATATTTTTTGCATTGATACATGCCAGTGAATATATATGTTACGGGCAAAGTATAAATTTTGGGCATTTTATACATTGCCCGGACAGTAAATAAAATTCCCTTCGTATATTGGGCAATATAGAAAACGGATAATATGATTTAATGAATAATGACATATTATTAGAAAATATAATAAGTTTTTTAATTTTATTATCACTTATTGTCACATGTACTGCTTCCGTGACATTTTGATGAACATATCCGCTCCGCTGCTTTATACTTGCACTTCCGTATTTTACATTTTTGTACACATATACATCGATCGTAGCCCTGATCATCCAAATTTGAAGATTTCCATGCCGCCTCTCGGAGTGAAATTTTGGTATGTGGCACATCATCAACGTCCAGAAATCTTTCTTTGCAAATTATAAATTTGTTTCTATTGTACAGAGTTGAAAGGTGGCCTTCCTTGGTCCCGATTTCTTACATATTATTGTTAACTGTAAAAACAGAATAAATACATTTTTATAATTTTATCTGGAATGTTAATAATATAAGTAAAATATTATTGAGTACCTGAAAGAATAACTCCAATTATGTTTCTAAAATCACTACGGGTCCTATCAACCTCTGGAATTTTAACTGTTACTGACTGACCAACTTAGCTGGGACAAAAACGATTCTCAGAAGCTTGCTTCATTTTTATAGCTTAAACTTTCAAATTTTTAAGTGATTCGGTTCTATTTTCACGAATAGCTTTTATTCTTAAAGGTACAGCTAAAATAAAATAAATACATTGATTAATTTTATTTAAGTATTTAACATAATTATTACTCAAAAACGGAAACTAAAAATCTTAAATTATAATTGAAAGCTATTGTTATTATTATTATTATTACTACTACATAGATCTAGGTACCTTCTTTGTTTTCGATGTTGTTATTACATTTCGTTACAGTAGAAATAAAATTCAGAGCTTCTTCGATCGAGGTCTTCTTCAGTTCTTAAATTACTTATTATATTTATTAACTTTATTTTAACTATGTTATACGATTTATCATATTTCATTAACTTATATCATCCGTTTTCTATATTGCCCAATATACGAAGGGCATTTTATATATTGTCCGGGCATTGTATACTTTGCCCGTAACATATATATATATATATATATATATATATATATATCAATAGTGTTTTGTTCAAGAGGTATATATAATTACAAAGAGGTATTAACATTTTCAGAAAAATCTGTAGTATAAACTGTTATAAAAAATATAATAATTACTAATTACATTTTTTTTAAACTTATTTAAAATTAAATATAAAAAGCAATTGAAGTTTCTGGGTGTCTCATGTTTAATATTCTGTATATCTTGAATACTCAATCTTTTTTTTTCAGTAAAATATTGAAATTTATTATTAATTAATGCTATTATAACAAATCGTTATTGATTCCTAAAAATTAATTATTCATTGTAAAAAGAAAAATATTTTTCAATCAAACTTTTCTAAAATACTGCCCAATAATTGTTATGTTCTTATTGATTAAGAGTAGTCACTTTGCTTCTTCATTATTTTCTAAATTAAAATTCTAAAATATGATTTCACTTTTTAAACACCAATGAACCTAAGCATGGTTTTTATCATTTTATATCGGATTTTTTTTTGTAAAAAAACAACATTCAGAACTTCTATTGGAATTCAATTTCAAAAGCTACTTTTAGGTCTATGATCACCTTAATTTAATTTTTTCGATTAATATTTGAATTGTTTTAAAATATTCTGATATTGAAATTTTTATTTGTTTCACTACTGCAATAATAATTTATAAAAATTAAATGTACTAAATAAAGAGATAATATACTTACAATCTTTTAAAAAAAATGTATTGGGCTTATCATTTAAAAATTATAGTTCTATATTTTTTAACCTAAGTAAGTAAATTGGATAAAACATCTATGTCAAACACATAATATGTACCAAACACAATAAATACCTTCTATATATAAATAATACAGTTAAATTTGTTTGTTAAATTGTTGAAAAATCTTATAAATAGCATACAATATGCTAAGTATACAGTTTACTCTTTTTTTTTTCTGTATCGATTGAATTTAATAAATTATAATTTTTTGATTTTAATTCTAAATATAGGTTGAAAACGCTCTCAGAGCCAGTTTTAATAATCCAGACCGAGCAGTTGAATATTTACTTACTGGAATACCTGACGAACTTCAAGCTGATCCAACTATTAACCAGAGTATAAGTAACATACTAAGTGAAGGTAAATGTATACAATGATGTAACTTAAATTATTTTTACTCAAATATTTGGTTTTTGTCTGCATGGTTTATACTTTGTAATTTATTTTAATTTATGGATTTTATAAGTAATTTTCTTATTATCTTTAATTGTTAATAATCATTTATGTTTATGGGTTATATTTTGAAAAAGTAAAATTCCAGATTTTATGTCAAAAAAAAAAAAAATTATATAAATATAGTAAAACTAAATATAAACTAGATAGTTTTAAAAATTTATATAATTTACATTTTCTAGGCTAATGCAAGAGCTAAAGCTAAGTGCAAATTACACAAAACCAAATTCTTGTGATTTTGCTTTTTATTTATTTGTTATAATTTTAACTTTAATTTTTTTGGTTTTAGATACAGGTAGTTCAACTGGTAGTAGCCAAGGTAGCGCCCAAGCCTCCCTTAGTGACCCTTTGGCTTTTTTGCGTAATCAGCCAACATTTCAACAAATGCGTTCTGTTGTTCAACAAAATCCCGAATTATTAAACTCTGTATTGCAACAAATTGGACAGACCAACCCAGCTCTATTGCAAATGATTTCTAATAACCAAGAAGCATTTGTGCGTATGTTGAATGAACCAAATGAAAGTGCAGCTGCAACACCAGCAGCTACTGCTGCAAGTAGGGGAGGATCGGCAGGAGGATATGAAGTACCTGTGTCTCCTCAAGATAAAGAAGCCATTGATAGAGTGAGTATATTTTATCTTTTCATTTTGTGCTTAAATTAATGATTGTATTTTTTTTTTCAGTTGATAGCATTAGGTTTTCCTGAACACCAAGTAGTACAAGCATATTTTGCCTGTGAGAAGAATGAAAATATGGCGGCCAATTTATTACTGACGCAGGAACCAGATGATTAAAATTTCAAGACTGAAAGGATTTGGCAGAATAACTACATATTAAAACAGAATTGCTATGTATTTTACATATTTATTTGAAAAATAGTAATCATGTTATGGAAAATTTGCTTAAAAAAAAAAAATTATTTATAACATTTTAGAAATAGAACAGTCCCTAAGTTGTCTTATTTTCGTTAATTTTATTCTGTTATTCTTTCTGATGGAAATAAAATTAATTTATATATATATACATTTTTATATTAATGTAAATGATTTTTTTGTCTATTTGATCATTTATTGTTTACTACATTTTAAATAAATAAGCATTTCAAAAAGTTAACAATAATAAATTAAACATATATTATACTTTGGCAATAATTTTTTTATTTATTTTAATATATTTATAAAAATCTAATACAAAATAAACTGTAAATAATTCGTCATGTCTTTAAAGCATTTTTATTAAAAATTAAACATTAAGTCATTTCTACATGTTTGAGTACGTATTTTGAATATTTTTAATTTGAAGAAAAAATTCTCTTATATATGCAATATTCAGTAAGATAATAAATATAAATTAACATGCATTTCTTATTTTTTATTGTATATATTTCAGTAGCATCATTGAAGCTCAATTAAGAGGGATCATGTGTATAAATACTATATTTTTTATTACTTAGGCTATAGGCTTTACTATACATTCTTTATATTACTGTGATTTAAACAATACCAAAAACAAATTCCAATATATGGTAATTCACACTCATTGCTCCATATTTCAGCTATGCCACTGATGCATTTTAATAATATAATTTGAATGTGTAGAATTTGATTAAAATAATAAACCCCACAAACTCAAAATACAATTTAATTTTATGTAGATAAGTTTATTTAATATGCTATGTTAAAATAAAATGTTTAATTACATTTATAGTATTTGGAATATCATTTTTGATAAATATTCAACAATACGTATTCAAAATAACTATTATAAAATAAAACATTTAAGTATTCTTTTTGTTATTGCTTATAGCTTTCCATATAATTTTAAAAACTTATTGAAATATCTGAAATCTAAATTGCAATTACCATTACTAAATGATCATATTGTTTTTAAAAATAAAAAATAAAAACTTACATAATTATTTATTGTTAAAATAAAGAATCCTTTGTGACAACATAGTTATTTTAGATATTTGGCTGAATACCAATATTGGTTAGGTAACCATGCAATTTATATTTATTACTCATTTGTATCACTAGTTAATTATGAATGGAATTGTAATATATTATCTGTAATTGTTATTTTAACACAGTTTTTTTGATTGCTTAAAAAATGACTGCATTTTTAATTACTATTGATATTTTATTGAACACCAACCATTAGTTGTACCAATTTATCTATTTTCTTCATACCTGACTGATACACTAGGGTATTTAGCGTTATTGCTTTATTAATCAATTAACTTAGAAGATTGCATGCATGCAAGTTGTCTGTAATTTACCTATTGTAGGACCTAAAATTATGTTTTTTTAATGTTTCATTCAAATACAGTTTCTTAACATTTAATCTATACATATATCCAAATACTTATTTAACAATTTACTATAACACAGGCTTAGTGAGGAATATGTAAAAATAAACTTATGTTTAAGTGTTGTAAATTAAGGATATAGTCAGTTTTAAACCTATAGAATATCGTATTTACAACTTATATTGCTTATGTCATGTTCTGTGTATCATTTCAATTTATTATTAAAAAACTTATACTTTGGAACTTGATTTTACAATGTAACTGCAACTAAAATATGTGAACTTGTGAATTTAACTCAAGACAATATTATATCTTCTGTTGAGACCTCAAGTATTCAAATTCTTACGTGAAGTAAAATTATTAATATAATTACCACCATTATAACAAACTATTCATTAGTCATGGTTATGTGATAACTGTTAATTTTTTTTAAGTAGTTACTTTAAACAATACCTACTATTCAAATTTTTTATTTACACTCGAAACAAAGAGTAGCTAGTGACAAAAGATCAGTTTTATTCATTTTTTATGTCTTAATATTTGATTAATCAATTATGATCAGCAGCCAAGTAAATCCAGTAATAATTATAACTTTTTACTGTTAAACATGTACGAATTAATAAATGTCCACTTCAATCTCACTAAAATACGCCATTAGGATATTTTTAAAATAGATAAGTTAATTTTAATGTAATAAAAGAGCAAAATTCTAATTACGACAGTGGCGCACGCTAGGGAGGGGTTTAAGGAGTTTTAACCTCCCCGAAATTTTCTCCGATGTCTAATTTACAAATTTTACGAGTTTGAAATATGAAGTTAGTATTGAATACCTAGTGTCATTGATTATAGAATAGTCTATTCTATTATCAATGCTATAATTGAAATCAAAATATATTAAGGATTTGCATAATTTTGTTAATTGTAAAATGTGTTATATTTTTACCTTGATCCCCCCCGGAAAAAAATCCTGTGCGCCAGTGAATTACGACCAGCTTATTGTGTTAATTTTTTTATATAATTGCACATAGCGATGGTAGGGCAAAGAAGGGTACTTGTCCACCCCTGAGCCTCAAACTGAATTCTATTTGTTTATACCAAACATGTAAGTTTTACATTATAATCAAAAATTAAATAAGATATGTCTAAAAATAGTTTAGTGGGGCCGAGTGTTATCTACACGTGTAATCGTTTTGACGTTTTAAGGCGGGTTCCCACGGCGCGTGGCTCGACGAACTTCGCGCAGTGTGGTTTTTGTAACGAGCCTAAGAATATGCTCGGCGTATCACGAGTCACATATTAGACTACACCATTCCCACGGCGCGTGACTTGGTAAGCCACGAGCTTATCTGAGCCGACCAGAGTTATAACACCAAAAAATGTATACTACGGCTCGCCGAACCACACGCGCCTGTGGGAACGCTGTTTAAATTCGTGACTCGTTTCCTTTGGCGCGGACACATCGGACCGACAATTTTCGGATAGACATGAGCCACTCGCCGTGGGAACCCGCCTTTGTGTGTTAGCCAATGATCTATCTGTAGATTATTTGAATTACGATTTTAACACTAATCGCTTTATATTTTTGCCCCTCCCCTAATTCATATCTTAGCTACGCCCATGTAATCATATAAAAAATAACCATACACATACAAAAAGAGTGTAAAATAGTAATCAGGGTACACATGTGGTTTTATAAATTTAGTTGCAATAAATTTATTAGTGTAATAGATAAAAATAATAAAGTTTCAATGTTTGAAAATTTGGTTTCTTTTTATTGTATAATTAATTACGTCTATATTTTTTGATCCAAATAAATTACAATTATAAATAAAAAAATTAATTAAGCCCTTAAAACAATTGACTACACACAGGTTATATAAAAATCCGCATACAGTTTTGTTTAAAATAATAATTTCTTAATAAATAATTTCTACAAAGATGTATATACATATTTAAAAAAAATTACACAATTACACATGTATTTTGGGTGAAAGGGGAAGGGTTATCTATACAATTATTATTCTTAATGAAGTTATAAAAATATTTACAAATAGAGTAACAGGTATTAAAGTGCCTTTTTAACAGTAAATAACAAATATAAAGTACAATGATTAATTGTTTGGTGTTAAAAATAAATAATATGGATTTATATTAAAATTAAAATGTAACACACAGAACAAAACCCATGCCTATTAATATTATTAAGTATAAAAATTATGTACAATGTTTTGGTACAAAGAATTATGTATTGTTTACCAGTCATAAGCAGTATACCAGTCTTTATATATTAGATCTTCCATTAAAGAAATTAATTATATTTTTATATTCATTATTATTACAACTTTGTAATTCGTAATAATTAAATTAACAAAAAAACCAATAAATGTTTTATGCAAACTAATACTTAGGAACCTCAACTAAACTTCATCTTCATCATCATCGTCCTCTTGCTCATCATCATCATCTTGATCATCAACACCATTTTCTTCTACATCATCATCATCATCATCATCATCATCATCATTGGCTTCGACCTGGTCTTTATCTTCTTCAGCATCAATATCATCATTTTGTTCATCATCATCATCATCATCATCATCATCTTCTGCATTCTGTTCAGTTTCTTCATCATCTTCTACTTCATCATTTTGTTCGTTATCATCTTCATCCCCATCATCAATTTGTTCAACCTCTTCTTCATCATCATCATCATCATCATCGTCTCTTTTAGTTTCTATTTCAATATCTCCACCATTTTCAACTTCTTCTTCTTCATCGTCCTCCTCCTCCTCCTCCTCCTCCTCCTCCTCTTCTTCTTCTTCTTCCTCCATTTGTTCTTCTAACATATCATCATCCATTTCTTGACATAAATCTTTTCCCTTGCATAATTTACTCCCTGGACCATGACACAAAATATGTTTTTCGCCAAATAATTTAGAATTGAATACAAGTTCACATTCGTCGCAATGATATTTAGGGAATGCAGGTGGTGCATTAGAATGAATATTACGATGTTTCTGAAGTTTAGAAAATGCATTGTGATTACGACCACAAACATCACAGGAAAATAATGATATAACTGTAGCATTTGGATGATGATTATCCAAATGCAATGCTAAGTCATCATAGCTTGAAGTTATTTGACAACAAATACCACAAACAAAAGCAGCTTGTGGACGATGAGCTCTAATAAGATGTTGCCAGAAATGTTTCAAACTAACCCATTCTTTTTTACATAAACCGCAAACTGTTCTTTTATTTCTCAGTAAAGATGGTTGTACCTCCTTACGTTCGGTTTCTTCTTCCATATAACTATCTTCAATAATAGAATGTTCTTCTCTTTTGTGATCATATAAATCAGTTTCAAATCTAAAACTTTTGTAACAAACTGTACAAGAATGTAATTTCCTCAGTCTCTTTGTGTTTATGTCTGATGTTACATCATCTATATCTCGTTTTAAATTTTCTTGTTGTTCTTCATTGAAACCAAGTTCAGCTAATTCTTTTGGAAGTCCATATAGCTTCGGAGTTTTTGGTTTGGGTTCAATTAATTTTTTGACAGGGGTAGAAGCTTTAGGGGAGTCTTCTTTTGCTGGATGGTTTTCAATATGGTCTTTAAGTTTATCCATATCGCTAAATACTTTCCAACATATTTTACAAGGTTTTAAATTTTTTCCATGGATTTTGTCAATATGTTCCCCAACTTTACTTCCAACACTAAAAATTTTCCCACAAAGCTGACAAATATTAGATTTGGTAAAAGTTTGAGGGTGTGCTTCATGCAAGTGCTTTGACAAACTATCATTATCAACACATACTTCCATACACACACCACATAAATATTGGGTATTGCTTTTGTGCCGCTGCCGCAAATGTTTTCTATAGGTTTTCTTATTAGAATGCATATCTCCACAAAATTCACATATATACGAAAACACTTTACGAATATGATCACGTTTATGTTTCTGGCAATCTGCTTTTGTTCTCATAACTTTACCACAGCCTTCAACATCACAACATAACTCTGGATCTTTTCCATGTTTCTCTCTGATATGATCCATTAATAGCATTTTACTATCAAAGTGTTCACCTGTTTTATCTTCAGAACATAACTCACAATGTTGAACTAAATGACTGTGCCTTAAATGTCTATTTAAATAAGTATGATATTCAAATGTTTTACCACATTTTGGACAAGGATAATGACCTTTTTCTTTAGGTACTGCCATTGCATCTCTTTTACCCTTGCAGTACTTGAGATGTTTTTTTAATAGGCTCCTAATCCTAAATACTTTGTCACATCTTATACATTGATGAATGGAATTTACTTCAGCACAATTACTATTATTTGATTTGTCAATAAGCTGATCTACAGGATCAGAATGATATTTTATCATATGTCTTTTGAGGTGAACTTTAGAAGCCGATGTACGAGCACATAAACTACAAGTAACATCCGGATGACCTTTGTGTTGCCTACTAACATGTTTCCATAAATGATTGTTTCCACTATAGTATTTTGAACAAAGGTCACATACATGCAATTGATGGTCATTTTTTCGATGTTCGGATATTTCTTCAACAGTTTTGAATTCAGTATTCGGACATAATGTACACTTTAGATTCACTTCTGTTAACTGATCTGTTACAAAATGAGATACTTGGTCTTCAACGTTGTGTATTGCTCTATGCCTCATCATTTTGGACCATTTTGTATATGTACGACCGCATATATCACAATAAATAGCATTTTCTTTTGATACTAAAGGCTCATGTTTCTCTTTAATATGTTCTCTGAGTTTTGGTACATCAATATGAACTTTTAAACATATACCACATAATAAAGGCATACATTCAGCATGCACAGCCATTATGTGTTTATAGAAGTCATTTCGATTAGGCCATAACCGACCACATACTTCACAAGTATTAGGAAGATCACCTTGAGCTTCATGATGAGATTGATGTTCAATTTGTAAAGCTTGTGATACAAATAATTTTTTACAATCCGGTTTTGGGCAAATAAGAGCTTCATTTGTGCCATGTTCTTTAAGCACATGCCACCATTTTTCAGTACGTGAACCACAAGAATCGCCACATAATTCACAACGATTTACAAAACTACTTTGAGAAGAGTTACTAGTTGTTGTCAAAGTAGTAGTTATCATATCATCACAACCAGTCATCAAATGAACTGATGACATGTGCCGTAAAAGTTTTTCTTCACTTGGAAATACTTTATGACATACTTGGCAACTTATTGTGTAATGATCATTATTTGAAGATTTGGTAGGATGAAAATTATTATTAATTATAATTAATTTATCAGGATCTATAATTTGACCATCATTATCATAAACTGTATGAATAACAACATGTCTCATCATCTTTTTCTTGGTATCATGTTGCCGAGCACACACCTGACACCTATATCGACGCTGAATGGAATCAGCAGTGTCACTACTTTTAGGATGTTGAGTATTAACATGTTCCATTAGAGATTTACTATCATTGCAGATTTTCATGCATACACCGCATGTTACTGCAGCTTCTTGTTTATGACCTCGGACCATATGTAACCAAAGACTAGCTTTATCTTGAAATTCTCTAGTACATACTTCACAAAAGAATACAGTTTCAGCTTCCATCATACTTTCAGCAAGTTCTTCATCTTCTCCTAAGTTTCCATTTAATTTATGTAAATCAGCAGGTTCAATACCGTGTATTTCAGATATATGTTGACTTAAATCATATTTATTACTAAAATTACGTTCACAGAGTAAACAAGATTGACGAAGGTTTTCTTGTTTTATTTGGGATAACAAGAAATGATCACTTGGTCCTGGTGATTCAATGTCATTTTCTCGAGCGACTTTTCTTGGATTAGCATTTTTGCGACGACTACCAGAATCTGATTGTGACAATAAACTTCCTCCCTAAAATTAAAATATTACAAGCTTAATTATGAACCAAAAATAAATAAAATATATTTTAAAGGTCTTACAGATTTAAAATTAGTTTTCGGTTTTATATCTCTAGAAATATTATTAATGATACTATTTCCAGCATGAACACCAATCTAAAATCAATATTACAATAGTAAATCAATATATATATATTAATAAAAATACACTAATAAAATATAGTTACTTCAAGAAAATCCATTGGGTTTGGTGAATCATCCCGGATACTATTATTGTTAGCCATACGTTGTTGCATAAGTTTTTGATGCATTTGCTGCTGTTGTTTTTGATACTCTGTACGACTATCATTTGCAAAATACTGCATTTTATTTAGTGGTGGAGGCCCCCTTTGTACAGATTGCTTTTGACTTAGACGATGAGCTTTTAAGAACTGCTGCAATTGCATAGATGCTACAGGTTGTTTCATAGGCCATATTGCTGGTTTCAGTGGTGGAGGTTCACTCTTTATTTTCCTTGGTTTAGGGGGTGGATTTGGAGAAACAGCAAAAATCGATACCTAAAAAAATCGTATTTAATTAGTGTAAACAAAATTTCAGTTAATTTCAAATGTTCGTACATAAACCAATTACTAATGTTGCAATACTTATTAATTAATAATACATAATAATATACTCCACTTCAACTTTCAATAAAATATTCCTTAATAAATTGAATGTTAATTGTTAATAAGTATTGAATGATAATTTTTTTTAGATAATCAAATTATGGCTTTAAAAATCATAGTTAAATCATATTTCAGAGTTTAAGAGTAATATGAAAATATTTATTGTATTACCAATAATACGTAGAATGATTATAATACTTATAGATATATGTACTCACTTCTGGTTGAATGTGATGTAATCGTGACATTTTATTATTTTGTGTAGACTGATTAGCTTCCTAAAACAATCAAAAATTATTTTAATAATCATTAGTTGAATAAATACTGCAAAGTATAATTTTTACCATAGTTATAATAGAATTGTAAGGAAATTAATACTTTCAGCAATCATGTTTACTGATTAAATATTGAACATGAGACTCAATAAGGAATTCTGAACCATGGTACTTTGTCTCTATAATATTTACATCCTAAAACAAACCAAAATCAGATGATATAAATTGTAATGTATTTTATGACATACTATTGAAAATAATACACTTAAATTTATCAAGACATTTAAAAAAAATTGAGTAGGTATGTAAGTTTTCATCAGGGGCGTATTTAGACTTACTTCTAGAGGGGGGAGAGACTCAAATTTTTTCTTTAATTCAAGCTCAAAATTTACAAGTAAAATTTTTGGTAATATTTATATCAGGTAAATCCTTAATATTTGTTTTTTTTTTTTTAATCTAATGCCGGATCCACTTAGAATGGTCTTTTGTGTAGATCTTTTTTAACACCTATCTGTGTTTTGAAAGTATCGCTTGAATTTTATCTAATTTTTCACTAAGTATGAACTGGGTCTTCAATCAAAATAATATATATTATTTATCGTTATGGAACAAATAAATGTTATAAGGAATTGAGCGTTTAACGCTATAAATAATTTAAACGTTATTCAATTTAAGCGTTTACATGTTATACAAATTTAAATGTTTAAAAAATTTTCCATTTACGGTTATTGATAATTAAAACATTATGAAAAATTTAGCGTTTCGTGTTATTTAAATAAGTGTAAAATTTGAAACG